CCCCCCCCAGGCAGATCGCTGCCTTCTTCAAGCCATGACTTGATGAAGAAGACGAGCTGGCTGGATATCATGTCTGCAAGGCGTGCGGAAAGCAGCGTAAGCATAGCCACAGTGGTTGCGTGTCTAGAGAAGTAGAAGGCTAGCACCCTTGGCATGCAATAATTTATTGTCTGCCTCACCACAATTGCAATTATTTATTTCCTTGCTCTGGTCTCATTTGACCCGATATGTATTTCACCGCACGGCAAGCAGTTGTATTATATTGTATTTTAAGTATCCCTGTTGGTAGTAGACACTTAACAAGTTTCTCCACATTGGTTATCGTGTGCAACTTCGCTTAGCGTTAGGGAGCATGTATTACCTAATGGAGTTAAAACTGTAGTCTCTATTGATCCAATGAAAGAGCTATCTGATGTTGTTTCGTTACCGTAAAACCGATCTCCTTTATTGACTTGTCGCCACATACGTGTCGAACTGCTACCTCTACCTGCGCCAGGGTAAAGTTACCCAGTGACACACTAATACTGCTGTGTCTCTCGTCCGGGTGGCTGGCCGACCGGCCAGGAGGTGGCGGCCGGGTGCTAGGCTCGAGTCCGGTATTTGACCCAGACTTGGGTGAATGCTTTTTGTGATATGGGTACACCTGGTGTGGCGTACATGGTGTCAGAACAAGTTGAAGATTGGAGCCGCGTTGATGACCCGAGGTCAGCGAGGGCGACGACGTGCAAGGTTGCAGGCGTGGATAGCAGTCGCCAAGGAAGGACGACGTGAGGGGTGAGTGCAGTGGGTGCTGAGTTGCACCACTGAAGCGAAGGAAGGGACAGAAAACATGTCCAAGGAGCCAGGTGAGTGCTCAGGAAGGAGAGTCATGCATATTGGTGCGAACACGGCAGGTGGCCGACGTTCGAGCTTTTCATTCAGCCGTAAATCTTCCCGATAACATACAGATTCTAGGACAACGCTAACGCAAGTAAGAAGAGTGTTTTCACATTTATTCTTGCTCGTTGTTTCCTAGATTTCTCTGGCTACATTGGACCCAAGATTGAGTCTTCCTATCAACGATCGCAGCTACCTTTTTTAACGACCCCCTATTGCTACAGGGAGGGCGCGCGACTGCTGGCCCAGAACTCACTTGGTAATTGTACTAGAACCTCAACGCAAGCCAGGACTCCGGCACCATTTCGTGTCCTATCAGTGCCTTTGTGTTTCGGTTGATGTTGCTGCGAAGCTTTTTTTAAACGCGCAAAATCTTCCCAGTTGGAGGTCGTTTTTCTTACCACGCCTTAGTGATCTCAATCCGTCCCACAGCATCGCCAAGCCCGTAGGCTTGCTTGAATTCTCTCCAAACATCACACGGTTCCATGTTGGATACATTGTCCGGTAGGGTAGAAAGTAACGAGTTGGGAAGGATCGGTTAAGCAAGTTTTACATGCCAGGTCTCCTTGCCAAGTGGGCATGCTCCCACCGTAGTTTCTTTGCTTCTTCTTGTGTCTTCTTTCCCTTCCGACACTGACGTCAGGTTCGAGCGGGGTGCTTTCAAGGAAATCCACCATTTTACGGGGGCTGGATTCCGGACACCTCTTTGGGGAGCAATTGGTCCCTACTAAGAGTCCCTAATTAAAGCTATAAAAAAGACAGAATAGCTCAAATCGCGAGCTATCGATTGGTGCTTACAGATTTACAATTGTCCACATATTCGTCGATTTAGAGCAATTCTTTATGGCACACCCACAAAACAATGCACTAAAGTGGTCATCGACCTTATTATTAATACACCCCATTTACAACATAGGTAATATAGTGGAGTGACAGATGGGAACAATGATCCATTAGATCGACGGAGCTGAAGCAAATGTCCATCCGGTTTTGTCACGGCAGGTCCACTAAAATGCCTTGAAATGTCATTTAGAAACACCAAAAGTGCTTTATTTTCTGTCATATAGTGTACAGCAGAGCAAAACTGGCGCTCATACCAGGCTTTAAAAATGTAGATTTTATAAATTATTCAATTCGTATCGATAGAATACGATATTATTGTGAATATCTGAGTATTACAGCTGCGAGTCAGTTGCACTCAAATTGACAGTTAGATTCGAAAATAGCACGGCTTAGACTAATAATGAGCTTTTATTGTGAAAAACTTAATTGTTCGCTCCATATAGTGTTGTACCGTAAATACCACCGATATCCAAATTTTACATTCATAATTCGCGAAAATGGTGACTGTGGCCTATTATACTAGGCTAGCAATTTTTAAAGCGAGGAAATGTAGGTGAAATGACAATCCATGTTGGTCGCGTGCCAGACGCGTTTCGGCCCCTGCCGGGGCCTCTTCAGTGGCTTTACCAAAAGGAAAGTGAGGCTATTCTACCAGGTATTCTACCAACAATCAATCCTAACCAGTCGGTAATCTACGGGATACGGCGTAATTACACGAGACGTAAATAATCTCGTAAAAAGCTCAGTACCTACGAATTGGTACTTCAACAGCAATGATTATAAGTTATCGCAATTTCAATAGCAGCGACATAAAAAAACGCACCTTGCTTGCAAAATAAAGTGTATGGGTCAATAGAAATTGATTTTCGATATCTCTGGCGTTAAGGCGATGACTTGGCGGTTTATTGCTGCTGTTCAAGACCCAGACACAGTGGTCGTACGCTACAGTCCGTAGCACATCTCGAAATTCGAGTCGACTGTAGTCGTATAATAGAAGGCAGGTGAGCGTAAAGTCAGTAAAAGGTGACCTAAGAGCATAAAATGACTCGTCTAACTAGCCCAATCATGGCATGACATTGCTACTTCAGCCTGCGTGAGGCCTCTCTAGCGTATCATTGTCGTCCTCCAGCGCTAGCTCACGGCTCCACTGACATCTAAATGGCGAGCGGTGACGCCACCAGCGACAGACAAGATGATGGCCACAACCTGCAACAATGTTCATATCCTGACGAAAAAGACATGTTTGGTCGTTACCACAGCGCAAGCCGCTTGAGTCAGGATGAAGTCGGTATTGGGGAAATGTAGCTGCCCTGTATTATAGTATCTCCACCAAGCTGATTTATCGCTTTCGAATAGATGATCACCTCCCCGCATAAGTTCCAGCTTGTCAGCACCAATCTGGCACCTTATCCCGAGTCATCTCGCGTGCTGTCAGCTGTGGTGGCTTTCTTCTTCACTGGTCTCCAACGCACCGACCACAATAGAAGTCCAAGTCTTAGCTCCCCCGTAAATTTCTCCTCTAAAATATCAGCGATAACGGAGCACATAACGAAAAGACCCTCATCGAACTTGAAGTGTGAATGGCTGGCCTACATGTATTGTATTCCGTTCGTGGTCATGTCTTGCGGAACGAGAGCACGACGGACAATCACTCGTGATGTCCATGCGGACTCACCGAGGCTGCTCGAAACGACAAGAGGACAACCCCACCGGTCAGCCATTATCCCGCTTTCTCCGGAGATCACACCAGCCGGCACCACCAGCGCTGGTGCACATGCCAGTGCAGGCAGTTCAGCAGCATCTTGCGCACTTTTCCAACAGCACCTACAGCCGTCCAGCCAAAACGGCTGCAGCTTTCTCTCTCTACATTGAGGCCAGCGAGCCCCCAGCCCCGGGTGCCAGTCCATTAGCCTGTATTTATGTAGCTATTGGACTAGAGCGACACCATGGGCTATCTGGACTGTGAATACTTATATGTACATCAGTGCCGTAACGAGAGCTGCCGTAGCAAGCATTCCACATTTTTCATTGCCATTTCACGCCATCGCGATTGCCCGTTTGGGTTTTGGCGGATTCAGCTTCAACTGAACTTGGAGACAGGCGGCACGGCGTAGTGAAACCGAGTCAGCGGCTCCAGCGTTGGGCGGATCATCTTTTTTGTAAGCTGGATCCACTTGTCCAGGCTGTGCACGTCGGCAATGGTAATGTTGCCATGTAGGTTTCCTCCGAGGAATCCTCGCCCGGCGCCGCATTGCCCTCTTCGTGCTCGCTACAGCGCAACGCAGTGCTGTTGAGGTGGGAGAAGTCCCGAAGGGGTCATTTGCGGCCATTCTATTCCCAATATGACCACTGCCCAGCGCACTCTCCGCCACGGTTCCGGTCCAGTTAGTACACTGAAACGAAGCTCCAAAAACCATGCAAAAATCCCATCCGAGATACAACACTGCGGCCTGGCGTAAGCTTCACACTGGTCGCCGGCCATCGCACTTCGCAATTTCCCAGGCAGCCTCCGCACTCGCGTTACACCACTACCTTAGCGTCTTTATAGTGCCCACCTTCCATCAGCGTTCATTCAGCTCTTCTATTAAAGTGGGACGGAGTTCGGCGGAGGAATAAACATAGCATGCAGCTCCAGCTCGTGTCGGGCGACGAACTCGACGTGTTACCATCCTCACAGCCTAAACTACGGCCGATGTGCGACTTTGAAGCGACCAGCAGCGTCCTCAACGCCCCAAGGCGCGCTGAGCTCTCGCGACAGCGTCACTGTGTGGACTTTGAGCACCAGACCATCGAGCTGCGTCAGGCCTTCCGTACAGCGCCAGAGCCCGTGACATTGGACTCTCCTCCGCTCAGCTCTAGCCCCAGCTCCATCCTGCGCAATCGGTCCACGTCTGCTAGCGTAAACCTGCGGACGTTGGAGCGCAGCACTACATACAGCGAAGACAGCGAGGCGCCCAAAGAGAAGCTCAAGAAGAAGAAGAAGGTCTCGTTCCTGCAGACGGAGCCCGAACAGGAACTTGAACAGAGTTATAGCAATCAGTGCAGCTGCCAGAGCTTAAAACCCTCAGATGACGTCAAGGACATGCCGTCTCCTATCCACGCTGCGTGCAGGAGAGCGGAGCTACAGGCGCTCAAGCATCTGCTGAGCTTCTACTTCGGTGCGGATCTGATTAAGCTCGTAAACTCGAGCTGTGCGTGTGGCCGGACGCCGCTTGAAGTGGCCTGTGAAGCAGGTGACGCTAGGATTGTCAAATTGCTGCTCAAGCGCCATGCAGACCCGAACAGCGCAGGCAGCGCTAAGCCCGGAGCAAAGCAGACTCTATCCAGCCATATTCGCAACCACAGGAGGCGCAGTATCGACCCAATGTTCTCTCGTAAGCGGAAACAGCGGACTTGTTTGGGTATCGCCTGCAAGAACCGCAAGTCGGATATATTGGAGTTATTGATGCAGTACGGCGCTCGTATTGACGAGGACGCGTTGGTGATGGCTGCTAGTCACGGTCATGAGGATGTGATCCGCACTTTGGTGAACTTTGCCACTGCAGACGCCAAGAAGAAGGCCAGTCCAGTGCATCAGCTTTTCCATAAGAAAGGAGCAGAAGCAAACGAGCGTGTCTACGTGCCTCTGATCTCCAGCTCTACGTTACAGAAGGCCTGCTCAGCAGCTGCAGTAGACCACCCTGAGCTGATTCGTGTCCTATTGGGTGAAGGCAAAAATGCTGTTTCTAGGCAGAATGTCATCAAGTGCGCGTTCGACGCTGTAAATTTGCCGGATTACCGTCTGATCAAGTGCTTGGCCAAGATGTACGACCCCCGATTGCTGCTAGAAGCACGCGAAAAGACCTCACAAAGCTCGCTATTGCATGCCGCAGTGAAGAATGGCAGTGCTAAGACCGTTTTGCTGTTGATCAAGATGGGTGCCGATGTACATGCAAAAGATGGTAGTGGCATTCCGCCTCTGTATTTGGCCTGTGCTCGTGGCCAAGAGGTTGTAGTGCAGTCTCTACTGGAGAAGGGAGCCAAGTGTACGGCAGTAGGTCCCAGTGGCGAGACACCGCTGCATATTGCTGCCCAGGAGAACCAACTGGCATGTGTGAAGCTGTTGCTGGAGGTTGGTAAGGTGCCAGTGGACGATGTGACTCACGATCACTGCACGGCACTCCACTTGGCGTCTCAGCGTGGCAACACAGCGGTCGCTGCGTGTTTACTGGATCACGGAGCTGACGTGGATGCAATGACCGTGGACAATGAGTCGTCGCTGCTGAAGGCCAGCCGCATGAGCCAGTTCCAGACCGTTAAGCTGCTTCTATCCCGTAACGCCAGCACTCAGCAGCCCATACTAACGTCAAGTTCATCCGAGCAGAAGTTGACGGTCGCTAGTGGGGAATCTTTCGAGTCCTCATCGAGTTCTCAAGACTCAGATGCGCAGTTGGCTCGGAGTCGATCATGGAACGGCAAGAGCAGCAAGAACAACGAGCGGATCTTCATCGCCAAGTCCAACACGCACACGTCGCTCAAGCGTTGGCTTCGCTCTGTGCTCAACAACTAAAAAAGATACGCTGGCGGATTTCTTACACGAACGGAAGTGTGGGAAGATCATGCCGTGCGTCAAGTTATGAATCAGGCTTCGCTTCAAGCCACCAAGACAAACACTCAGTATATTATTCCACCTACTATGGCCAGTCTGTAGATGGCCGCGTTGTATCGATAGATATGTAGATCCACTAATTTACCACAATTTTGATTATTATCCTCATGGTTTCCTCGCTTCGACAATCCACAGGACATGGCCGACTCCGTACATTAGAGAGCTGCACAACGACTCGTTGAAGGACAGTGGCCAGGATGAGCAGAGGATACCTTGTACAACTCCATGACTCTACACGGTTCAGATACACTCGAAGGTATCCATGTATCTGCGTGTCTCCAGCAGAGTCCGCTGAACTGTGGACAGGCGTGTATCTCCATCGAGAATCTCGACTCCGGGGGGGGGTGTAACGTGCAACAAGCATAGTATATTATGAGGCAGACATTAATATCTTTTAAGCTCTGTAAACACTCTAGCGAGGTAGTACGTCTGCCGACCAAGACACCTACCACATCGCGGTTATACGAGCCGCGAGAAGAAGGGGTCTTTGCGGAAGCTCTGCAGCAACTCGCTGGTGCTGAACAGAAGCTTAATCAACTGCTTCCTCAGCTCCGCCTCGGCGATGAGACCTTCCTCACCCAGTGTGTCCAACGCGGACCTGAAGTCGCGTCCTGACAGCGGTTTGAATACTCCTGCGTCCTTACTTACCTCGCAGTAGCACGAGTACAGCTCGTCGACATTCAAGAGCGGCGTGTTCTCGTTTCCATTCGCTGCAGCACGGTTCGCCGTCACGATGAGCAGTCGAGTAGACGCGAACAGAATCATCTGCAGATTACGTGGCAGTGAGCGGATCACTAACGCGCTCTTGGACTCCAACGCATGCTTGATGATACGCAGCATGTCCGTAAGCGGCAGCGGCCGTCCCAAGTCTTCATCCGACGGGTTCTCCGAGTTCTCCTTGTCTGTCTGCTCCATCTTGTGCTGCAGGACACGACGGCAGGTATCGACCGCTAGTCTAATATCGCCGGTCGTCGACGCGATCTTCCGGGCCAAGAAGGAGATACCGTGAGAGCTAACCATCTTCGAAGCCGCTGTTTGTCCTCCAAGACGGTCAATCAGGATCTGCTCGATAGTCTGGTGGCTGTACGGCTCAAAAATGACGACGCGAGGCGAGCAATCTGGTAGTCTCTGTTGCAGCATTGGCAAGTGACGCTCAGTAAAGTCCACCTGATTAGCGATACCGATGAGGATGAAGCTGTTTGAAGTCCGGTGGGCAAGCTCGAATAGCCTGCATAAATCGTTCTCGATGCCGTTGTTCTTGAGAAGAACGTCGATCTCGTCCAAGATCAGGATCATCGTCTTGGAAGTCTTGAGTTTCCGGTTTGTGGCGCGCTCAATGGCTTCGAACGCCTCGTTCCCGCTGGAAAAAGATTTTTTTGTAAGTGCTTCCGCGAGTTTACAGAAAAGTGCTGACGAGTCAGCGAGAGCCATCGCGTTGACATGGCAACGAACGGGTTCCGTGGCTTGTCCAGAGCAGCATTCCTGTCGTACAACACGTTGTAAAGTTAATTCATCACGCATGCCACCAGAGCGTCGAATAATGTAGTCTTACCTGGTAGAGTTCATCGATTTCCGACTGAGTGGCCTTCAGCAGTGCAGTCTTACCGCATCCCGGTGCACCGGAGATGTACAAACTGGTCATTTCCTCTCCTTTAAAACAATCGGTGAAGAACTTGCGGATCTCTGTGAACTCCTTCTCACGGTGACGGAATTTGGTTGGAATATAAGCTGACGTGAGCTTCTGGATCGCACTTTGAATCAAGTTACTCGGAGTCTCCTTCGCAGAATCCATCGGAACATCAGTACTATCAGTGCGTTGTAGATTTTTCTCCTTCGGTGCAGCATTCGGCGAAGGTGTGAAGCTGTTGGCGAGATTTCGTAGCGGCTGGCGACCGCTTCCGTTGTTCTCCTTGCCCTTCACACCTGCAGCATCAGGCGAAATAGTATCCATGTCTTCATCGTCACTGAGGTCTGCAGTTGCCAATCGCTTGTCAGTCGGAGTACGGAATGCATCCTTCTGTTTCTTGGCTCCATGCTGAGGGGCTGGGGTGATTTCGTCGCGCTTCCTCTTCTGAACGGGGGTTGATGTATCGACATCGCTATCCATGAACTCGTCCGAGTCCATAGCAGCTTCAGCTCGCACACGCGCTGCCGTCCTATCCCAGATTCCACTGGTATGCAAGTACTCGATCAGTTGATCCTTTGTCTGAAAGTAGTCGACTCCTGCAATGCCGTCCTTGGTGGTGGCGCAGTGGGGCATAAAGTAGTCGCACTCAAGCGCACCGTAGCGGTAGTGCCAGCCATCGTCCGATAGAACACGCCAGATCTCACCGAATTTGACTTCAGCAAGTGTGGTTTGGGATGACAAACCATTAGATCCCCGAGCCGTTGACTTTGAGCGAGCACGTCGGAAGCGACTCACGGACTTGGATCGACCACGGACAGTTTGCTTTGGGGCTGGCTTTGGCTCAGGTTTCTTGGCACGGACTGGAGCCTTTGCTGCACTGTTTGGTTCGTCTTCGTCGCTGTCACTTTCAACAATGTATAGATTGTAGTGATCGTCTTCCAGCTTCCTGCGGATATGGTCGTACTCACCACTGTGATCAAGGTAAACTTCGAGTTGTTCTCGGCCACAGAAGTAGTCTTCGTTAGCAATGAGTGACTTCTTGTCCTTCGTCTTGCAGTATGGCTGGTAGTAGTTCCACTGCAGACCTCCACTCTTCCAGTACCATCCACGGCGCTTCAACTCGCTCTCGAGCTTTCCAAATGCCATCTTGAACGGAGGAATATCCTGCCTTGGCTTCTTAGGAATATTCTGCATCTGGTTGACTGGCTTCGCGACCGTCTTAGTGGGTTGCGACTTGGGAGCAGCCTTAACTGCGCTCTTTTTGCTTTCTTTCTTCTTCACAGGTGAAGCAGGAACGTCCTCGTCCTCTTCTTGGTTGTCCTCCTCTTCATCTTCCTCCTCACTCGCAGATTCTTCACTGTCATCGGACTCAGCCTCAGCCATTTGACTCTGCTCCTCGCTCTCAGCCTCGGATTCCTCAGGTTCCTCCATCTCGACATCTGAATCAGCAGCATCGGACACAACGTCTTGTGTTTCAGGAGTGTTGTCGTCCTTCGAGTTAATGAGTCCGCACTCCTGTAGATACTTGGCCACAGCCTGAGATTTGGAGCGGAAGATCGTCACATTGGGCATCCACTGGTCGAACGGCAAGTCTGCCTTCTTATACAACGTCTCGGACGTCGTCACCATACTCTCCCAGCCACTACTAGCCGCCATGGGCCACAGAAACTCAGTCAACTCGGAGAAATCCTCACTCGAGTCGTCAACAGACGTCGATTTGACCCAGTCGCTCAAGTAGCGGCCGCAGGCCTTCTCAAGCGAGTCGAAGAGGTTGACGTTCGGGACAAAGTCGAAGAAGTTCGTGCCTGGCATCTTGTACAGCACCTGTCCGTCGCCCTGCGTCATCGTCTCCCAGCCAGCCTCCAGCATCTGCTGCCAGCACTTGGCCATCATAGTCGTCATCTCCGGAGTCTTGAGCAGCTTGGCTACATCTGTTGCCTTCTTCTCCTCCGCGACCTTCTGCTGGGTCTTCTTGGTCTTCTCTGGAGCCTTCGCGGGCGAAGGAATGATCTCCCTCACTACGATGGCCTTGCCGGTCTCGCGAGCCTTCTTGGCCATGGTCAACAGCGTCACGAATAGCTCGCCGGCTTGCTCGTCGGTGCGCACGTCACGAGCGAATGTTGCGGCCTCCTCACAGGCGCGCAGGAAGCAAGCGTTATTCTGCGCACGAGTGACGATATCGACGGGTATCTGATGCTTTCCGCAGAGCTCGGGGAAGTCCTCAGCGCCAGTCCAGGGCTCACGTGTGATGTCATCTTCGTGAGCGACGCATAGCTGCAGGTTGGGTGCGGAGCCAGTCGCTACCACGTGGCAGGCGCGCGGGCCAACGCCGAAGAAGTAGAGGACGCGGTCCTCGGCGTCCAGCGCGGGTTTGTCGTTACGCAGTGGCCACACGTCGTGCGTGTGCGTCACGGCGGCCGAGTAGCTCTTGTACACGCAGGCGGGCCAGAAGACCTGCATAGTACGCAGCTTGACCCAGTACAGCGCCGTCGCGTCACATTCAGTAGGCGCCATGCTTGCGATCGATCCACAGCGTCAGGTACGAGCCGCTAGTGGTCCGAGTTGGATGCGGAATGCGCGCGCAGTTTTGGCGCGCGCTTTGCTCGTTTGAATCTGCTGGGATCGGTTTGAGCAGGGTTTCAAATTCAAGTTTTGACCAATAGGAGACGACGTACTTACTGATGCGCCAATAGCCAGGAATAGGTCCCGCCAAAAAAGCGGATCAGTTCCTATAAATAACTGCTTGTCATGGACCCGCTGGACCTGCTAACTGGAAGCTACAGCGCTCGGAGCGACCGTGTATCTGAAGCAGGCGTTGCTGTGCACCAGGAACTACCCAAGACGCTGGCGTACATGGAAGCGGAGGCCGCGGCGCAGGAGGAGGAGAAACGAGAGGAGAACTCGAGCAGCTCCAGCGACAGTAGCTCCGAGGACGAGCCCGAGCAAGACATCGACTACCCGACCACACAAGTACTGGTGCAGGAGGAGCCGGTGGACGAGGAAATGCAGGAGGCTAAAAAGAAGACGCCAATGAGCCCCACGGTCATTCGGTCTCCTGTCAAGTCCCGCAACTCGCCCGCGAAAATCCGATCGTCTCCCGCTAAAGCGCATTCGTCCCCTGCAAAGCCCCGTTCATCGCCAGTGAAGGCCCGATCGTCTCCGGCCAAGGTGCGCTCATCACCGGTGAAGGCCCGATCGTCTCCGGCCAAGATGCGGTCCCCCATTAAGGCTCGCTCGCCTGCGAAGCCGCGGTCGTCACCTGTGAAAGCCTCGAAGCCGCCTGTTGCTCCGTCTCCTATTGTGGATAGACTGAAGGAAGCAGAGAAGGAGACAGAGAAGGAGGGGGAAGACGACACACCTGAAGAGTTCCGAGCTAAGGGTGCGGAAGGCAAGTTCACTAAAGTTTTTCCCGCCATTTCCAAGCTGGTGGAGAATGGTGGATGGCAGATCGCTCAGGGTATGAACACCCTGTTCTGTGCCATGCCGGGCGTACAGTTCTTCAACTTCAAGCCCAACATTAACGTGTTCGACTCGAAGGTCAAGGCGTGCTGGAAATTCATTCAACTCACGGGCGAGAAAAAGAATGATTTTGAGGATCAAGAGCTCTGGGAGATGCTGTGGCCTATTGTGGAGAAGGAGTTTAACTGGTTCACCATGACGTGTGGACCCGAGACGTGGTACGTCAAGCCGAACACCAAATTTGAGAACTTCCTCCCGAACGAGACAGTTTTCCAGACTAAAAAGCGCGCTGTGCTCAAATGTCTGGCCGTCGAGGTGGGTGAAATTGAACTGGGTGACTCTGCCGAGGGTCACCAGGTCATTTCCTTTGCTCCGCGTGTACAGCCGACACCTGCGCCTGCTCCGAAGAAGGCTAAGACCTCCTTGTTTAAAACCCCATCACCTGCCGTGAAGAGTGTTAAGCGTCCTACCCCGACATCATCTTCGAGTACCAAGTTCGTCACTCCTGCTAGGAATGTGTCACCCGGTTCATCCTCATCTGGTGCAAAGCGCAAGCTTTCGTCGTCTGCATCCAAGTCGACGAAGAGCTCGTCGTCCAATAAGAAGGCGAAGGCAGCCAAGTCCAGCGCGAAAAAACCAGCGACAAAGAAGAAGAAGAAGAAAGCGGTTGTTGAGGAAGTGAGCAAGGGGGATGATTTCAACTTCGTCGCTCCCGAATTCAGATGCTCCTTTGGAATTGTGTACTCAAAGCTACAGGACGAGGGCTGGTACCACAAGAGCGGAGTCTTCGAGTATGATTACTTCTCGCCTAAGTACACGGAAGCCACCAAGGAGCATAATGTCAATTACTTCCAGTCCCAGGCAGACTTGGAGGACTTCTTAAAGGTGAGTGGCACGTGGAAGCGCATTGAAGATGAACTCCGACAAGAGCACGACCAGGTGGTGGATGAAGAGCGGGAAAAGGCTCTGGTGCGACACCACCAGCGGCTGGAGCAGCAAGCGGCACGGAAGCGAAACCTGGCGCTCTATGGTCCTCCGTCTAAAGTCCTTACACCGCACGCACCTGCTGCCCCGAAGCCGAAGAAGTCAAAGAAGGCTCCCAAGAAGACGTCCAGCACCCCTCCTTCAAGCCAAAGCCTCTATCAGGCTGAAGTGGAGGCTGCTGAGCTCGAAAGTAGGTTCTCCAGACTGCCCAAGCTGAAGTTTGGTACAGTTTTGAAGAAGCTCATTGGACGTGGTTGGTACTACCGACCTGGACGCTTTGAGTACGACTACTTCAAGCCCAGCGCCAACCCGAAAACAGCCGTGTCTGGTGAGGATCGCTTCGAAAGTGCGTCTGCTCTGGAGATTTACTTGAAGACGACTGGACTGTGGGAAGAGATTGCAGAGGAGGTGGCGCACGAGGAGCTTGCCAAACACGACGCCCCTGCAGTGGAGCGGCCAGTAAAGCGTAGCAAGCTGGAGTCGCCACCCCCGTCGTCTCAGTCCCCGAAGAGATCGCTAAATGGCGGCGTCCACAAAGAGGACGTGAAGGCGATCACCAACGACATTTGGGCGAACTCTCACGAGTTCGACTTCAATGAGTAACTTGGCGGACGAACCCGGTAGATAACGGAGAGACAAGCGATGGACTTTGCTAGATTCAGGGATACATTTGAGCTTAGTGGGGCGGCAGTACGCTAACAGAGCAGCGACGATTCGTTGTGAATAACACGCGCAGGAGCGTCCCCGTGAATATTTTACAAGACTCCCTTGAGCGATGCGCCAGCACGGCGATTGATGTTCTGGCGCTCCGCCTCTATGCGGTTGATGCTCTGCTTTAGCTCCTGCAGCAACAGGCAAGATGTTAGTCGGCTTCCTCGGATGGCAGTCTAGGACTCGCAGTACCGCGATGTCCTCTGGTGTGGCGTCCTTCGTCGGCGTCGCAGTGAGGTTCGACATGTCAGCGTCCGCCATCTACACACAGTAACAGCCAATTAGCGTAATGCATCGTCAATAAGGAAACTGTAGTTGGCGCTGACGCACCCTGGAGCTCAGTCGGTTGAGCATCTCGACGATTCGGTCTTTGTCCGCTGCGGGCGCCATCACAATACGATCAGTGTTCCCGTGTCCATCAATACTAAACTACCAAAGTAACGAGCTTATACCCACCGTAGGCGTCGGCGGTATCGTACGGACGCTGCTCCGACTGGTTCTCACTGCGGCAACAGCACGTCAACAAACACCGACACCATCAGCGATTGCAGACTGTTTCCACCGGTTGCTCGTCTCGCACTGGCGCACTGGCGCCAATGTAAACCCGTGCCAATTGACAGTATCGGTAACACCTACATCTTGTCAAATACCGAGTCCATGAGCTTCTTGAGCTTGTGGATATCGTCCTGCATCTGCATGATCTGCTCCATTTTGCCTACAATTGCCGCTTACAGCAAAAATGACTTGTGTACCAAAATGATAGTCACTCAAACGGGGACGGTAGGTCGCAGTAAAAATGAACTGAGGCAAAAATGGACAAAACTGACAGGACAAAAAACACCCGGTTGAGTGACTACTTTCCAGGTTTCCAGCCAAGCCGAAGTTTTTTTGAGTGCTGGCATGGCGTCGTCCCCAGAGGCCCAGTCGGACAGCAGCAGCAGCAGCGAGGACGAGTTTGACCTCGGCGGGTCCTCGCTCAAGTCCAGCGGCGACGCTTCCAAGAGTAGCAAGCCGGCAGACCCGGACAAACTCTTCAGCGACGACAGTGACGAAGAGGAAGATGACAAGAAGGAGGGAGATGACAAAAAGGGAGTGTTGTCCCCTAAGAAGGAAGAGAAGGACAAGGAGATGGAAGATCTCTTCGGATCCGACTACGACTCGGAGGAGGAAGAATTCAAGGCCTCGTACGTCGCATAAAGCTGCTCCAGTTAATCTCTCTCTCTCTCTCTCGTGGGTTATTGAGATTGTATATTATGACTATTTAGAGGTGTGAAGGAATCGCCCGCCCGCGACGGAGGACGCAGCAATGAGGATCTCTTCGGCGATGAGGCCGGCGACCGTAGTGCCTCTGGAGGTGGTGACGGAGACAACGGCTACTCGGACAACATGTGGCTCCCCAAGACCCCCAAAGCCCCCAAGACAGCCAAGTACTTTATCAGCAAGATGCCTAATATCCTTCGCCTTGTGCCGGAGCCATACACTAAGGAAGCCATCCGAGCCGAGATGGACAATCCATCGGACGAGACCTTGTACCGTAACTACGTGCGCTGGCGCTACAAACGCGACCCTGCTACTGGTCGCGTGCTGTTGGACGACAAGACCAACTTGCCATTACGGGAATCCAACGCCAAGCTGGTGCAGTGGGAGGACGGCACGTTCTCCATGTTTGTGGGCAAGGAGGCGTTGACTCTGTCCCGTCAGAAACTGGCTAACTCGTTCCTGTTCGTGAACGAGATGGCGAGTGATAGTCCGCACTACCAGGATAGTGACGATGTGGTGCCAGGACAGGAAAGCGTGCTGGAGTGCCATGCACGCCTTAAGGAGAAGTTTACGATTCGTCCGATGACCACAGCCAGCAAGTCTCACAAGAGTCTCACCATGTCCATGCGAGCCAAGCACAACAAGAGTGTGCAGAAGCTTAAGGAGTACATTTCAGAGCTGGACGGCGAGCGTGAACAGGAGCAGCGTGTTAAGATCACTGACGAGAAACTCCGGCTGCAGAACCGCAAGAAGGCACGTCAGGGATACGAGTACGATCGCGAGCGCTCCTCGCGCATGGATGCGCAGTTCTTGGAGGAGGGCTACGATGCCATGGATTACGATGACGACGAGCACGTGGGTGCCATCAAGGAACAGTTCGGCAAGCGCAAGGGCTCTGCAGCGCACCGCAAGCATGGTGTCCGTCGTCCGGTACCTGGTGGTGGCTTTGACGAGTACCGTAGCAGCCAACGCCAGCGTGAACTCGAACGCGAACGTGAAGGCGAGAGATCAGAGAGTGACAACGACGCTGGTGTGGACGAGGGCGAGGACGATGAAGAGGAGGAGGAGGAGGAGGTGGTTATTCGCAGCCACAAGAAGCGACGCACCGTGGACGAAGAGGACTCGGAGTAAGCATGTCGAAAACAAGCAGTCCAAAACAGCAAACCCCACCTCAATCTTACCGTTAGTACTTTCGTTAGATCGTGTGTTGAGTGAGGTGTGCGTACATGTAGCAGATCCTACAGAACAGAATGGTAACGTGGGGGGGAAAATTCCCACATTACCATTTTGTTTTGTTTGAGTATGCTGAGTTGTATGCAAGTCTTGTCGCTTTCATTGCTTACAATAGGAGCTTATTATCAAAGGGACTCTCTGGGACCAAGATGGCTTCGTCAAAACGGATGTTCGTGCAATACCTGGTACAGTACAATGATATAGTGGTAATCATACCCGGTATCCCACAGTACTGGTACCATTTTTAATATTTGTACCGCTATCTTCGTGTAACGTAATTATAGATTTTCTGGTAGATATTTTTCGCTGCTACGCCCTATAGTCCGACCTTTATTTTAATGTTAAAAATAGTAGCCGACCAAAAACTCGAAATTTCCGGTATTTCCGTAAGTAAAGAAACTAGGATTATGTAAGGATCATAATAATAAAAATAGTAAAAGAGGGACTTATTCGAGAGCGGGCTTTTATTCGGGCGAGTAGTAATAGTAGTATTCATTTTATTGATGGTGAGTTATTTTCAGTGGTGAGTGAATTCTGGCAGGTACATATTTTGATATAACATGGCTGGTTATGCGTGCGAGTTCTGAGTAGAATAGTAAGAAAGACACGCTATTACTGATGCCAACACTAGTTGGGTGTAAGCTTTTAAGACTGTAATGTCATATGAAGTTCTAGTTTTTTTCTATCAATGTGAATATCAACATAATAAGGAGGTAACCGGCTTTTTTAGAACAACGGTGAAATGCAAAATGAAGAGATTCAAACCAACGCGCGTAGTTGTTTGAGATGTAATGATAATTGGCTCCGTTTCTAGACGTCGGGTCGAAGGCTATGAATATGAGTCTCTTTGGATTTGGGAAGTATTAGTACTGATTCTATCGACCGTGATAAAAAAACATGTTGTTTACGTTCTGAAGCGGTACAACTTACTGGTGAAGCTTCAGTGAATTTGGTGTGCGATCGTGGAACAACGAAGAGACAGACAGAGAATTTGCTACTGGTTATGAGGCATGCTTCCATCAGCTCCTCATTTGTGTGCGGTATGCCCAAGTGTAATATCCACATTTATCAATCTTCTGCATGCCATCAACTTTACAGCTACTTCGAGGAAACGAGAGGCACAACGACAGTGGGACGCCTACCCTCCCATCCACGACATCGCTTCTGCATGTTCTGTCGTCATGACAGAAAAGCCTGCCCCAAAACCCACTACTACACTGAAGATGGGTTGGCTTTGGAATGGCCGAGTATGACGACTGCTTCCGCGTCGAGCTCATCAACCATTATGGTGAGACCGGAGGCTGTAGTGAGTAAATACGAGAGGATAGATCCTGCCAAATGAAGCAAGTGTGTCTTCGTGGCGATGATCTGAAATAATCGGAGCAACGCGCTCAATGTTCTGAATTATCGTCCAGGGTTCAGTTACCGTTTTGAGAAAGGTACACTCCATCAATCTGCTGTACGGAGACCCTGTCAGCAGTGTCAAGATCAGCACTCGTTTAAATGACGTCCTTTTGCTGACCGCGACGCCGACCGTGAAGCTCAGCGTGACCAACACCCACTTCCCAGACCCAGAATAGCGTTGTGGTGACCGCTACGACTGTGGAGTTGTCGAACTGACGCGACACTGACACACTCGAGCATGAACTTCACGTGTCGCCCGCTGCTGTTCTGTCGGCAAAATAAAACAGTAGAATGGGAATTTAAGGAGGTGAAAACGCTATGGGGCTTTATTGATTTTAAAAAGGGTCTCTTCGAAATCAACTCAGCCCAGTCGGTAAGTACGTCGCTATTAGTAAGTTACTCGCATACTGTCACTGCTATTTTGGACTAACGGTATACCTACAGGATTAGCTAGTGTTTATAGCAATTGAGTCACTTTGATTTTGGTATTGAATAATAGCTAGGATGCATTCAGTTACAGCTCCGATGAGCTTCAGCATCTGTTCAGCTCCTTCTTGGCAAATGCGCGTGGCTTGGTCTCTGTCGTCTTCACGTTCCAACGTACACTGTAACGCATTCGTTTATCTAACATTCTTTTTGTCGACAGTCCCCTTATCTTTGAGTTTGATAAGAAGCTTCTTCAGTTCCGTTTCTTTGCACCGTTTAGGCGGGGTGCAGTCCACCGATGTCTCAGCATTTCCATCGCCAATCTCCGCGCTACCAACGAGGCCTCTTCTTCGAGTTGACGTTTGAGACTCTAGGCCGCCTTTTGAGCCGCTGTCGAGCAGCATGGTCATCTATTAGAGCTATAATCTCGTCCAAGATCACGACCTTCTCGCTCTCGTCTTCTGAAACGCCAGACAGCATTGCAGCCTCTGTAGCATGCTCTCGGTGGGCCTTGAGAAGCTTGTCGAATCGTCCATTAGCCGTCTTACCGCTCAAACTTTCTCGAGGGGAGCTCTCGTTTGCAACTAGTGTAGCTGCTAGAGCGTCCTACATAGCCAGAATGTCATCTCGTGGCTGAAGAATGGGGCGATCACCAGCGCTTGCCGAATAAGCGCAAGATCTTTCTCATCAGTAAAGTCCCAACTTCGGCTTTCAGTCATGTTTAAGAATGAATGGCACAATGACTGCCAAGATAAGTTTTATGGTGTACACCACACGCTACTTTGGTTGTTTTCCTCCCATTTGAGTGCTCAGCGACCTAACAATCTTCAAATGCTAATTGCCCCTTAGTTTTTGTTCTGTATGAGGTAGAACTCATGTAAAAAAAAAAATATTGCGAAACTTCTCTGCTGCTTGGCTTGCTCTTCGACGGCCTCGACCTCATCCACTACCCCTCGCCAACCGCAACACCTCTTACGAACCCACACCACAACTTTATTCACACACGCGCTGTTCAATCTCTATCCGTTCTTCTCAAGCATTCAGCTGTCGCACACGGCTGCAGAGACTATAAATTACCTAGACAGCCGCATCCATGACTCGTGGGGAAAATAAATTACCGATGCGAAAACGCAGCAACAACCACGTATACTCACCACAAGTGCCACAACGTTA